CACCAGAGCTTGATTTAATTTTCCCTTTCCTGGAGCCAGGCTGGTAACCGTTCTGGGTGGAATTCATCTCACGTCACTTGATCTACAGACAGCCTAGATGGTTAGCACAGACTAGATGTCTAACATTTAGACAGCTAAAATTGGGTGAGAGGACGCTGCCAACTGGCATCTGCTTCCCAGAGGAGCGGGTTCTGGACTTGCAGGCACGGTGCTGGGAGGCAGAGCAGCGTTCTGCAGCAGAGCCCTGTCTCCCGGATGACAGGCAGGGTGGTTTAAACAAATTTCTGCAGCTCCTGACGGCCTGCTCTAGCACCATTTTAGGGCTAAAAAGGATATAAAAAAGCAGAGCTTTGCAGGATGCTCACTGTGTTTGACACACAAACCCCAGGCTCTGAAAATCAGCTCGACCTCTGGCTTTCTAGCACCTCAGATCCTGAGATGCCACTGGCCTCAGGGTTTGCTTTGGGCTCCTCTATGTCTGAAGGAGGCCACAGATGAGATAAAGCACCACATGAACTACTAAAGCAACATGCAAAGTCACAGATGAAGGGTTATGGTTCTTTCTGCATGGGGGTGGCTCACGTTAGAGGGCTAGCACGTGGCGTGACGAGTTGTAAAAGCTGCTAGCTCTAAAATGCTGGCTGTAGCTGCAGTAAAAGGGAGTTCACTGACCTATTGCCAGGCCGGGCTCAGCAGAACATCTCTTCCGAAGCACAGACCCAGAAGTGATTCATTTTCCACCTGGGCACTGAGCAGGAATCGCTTCTTAGATGACACGTATCTCAGGACATCCTTGCCACCAAAGGGGAAAAGGACAAGCGTTTCCTCTGGGCAGAGGCTAGGGCACAAAGACACCTTACAAGTTAGAAATAAGCCAGCCATAAGCATTCAGGAGTGCAACAGGATTCATAATTGGAGCTAAACCAGAAGCTTCAGAGTCACAAAGCTGCTTATCCACCAGCTGCCACAGGCAGGACTCCAGCCCATGCCAATATATGCTGGGGGGGGACCAGCCGTACCTGTAGTTGCTGGGTGAAGAGCTTGAGTTAGTGCAGAGAAGAGCAGGTTAAAAAGAGTTAACTGTGAAAAGGAAGCGGAATGTGTAGGTCGTCAGACAGCTGGATTTGAGCTGTTCAGTTTGCAGAGACCAATCCCCTCCCTGGTCATCCTGTTTCTGAGAAGCTTTTGCTGGCAAATATGGAAAACCCCACATGTGCGGTGGCAAAGCAAGCGTTTTCTCCTGCCTCTGCATTGAACTGGGGGTGTGAGATACAAATTAAGTGCAGGCTGAACCAGGGACCTGAGCAAAACATTTGTGCATGGGAATCCAGTGGCTACTGATGCAGGCAGGTTCATGTGTGTTGACTCCCCCCAGTTTTGTTGGATGAGGGCATGACTTTGATGTACTGGAGTATAAAGGAAGGGCACGCTCTCTCCCTGGACACCATCACATCAGCATCCTCTGAACACAAGTACCAAAGGGTTGTGATCTCTGATCCATCCCAAAGCGTCCATGCCTGTGAGGGAAAAGTGTGAGAGGGAATTAAGAGGTGGCCAGTCCTGCTCTATGCTTTTTGTCGTCCCCCAGATTATATATATACAACTTTACTTCCTCCATGGTATTGAAGTGATCCAGTAACCTGAGCAGAGCAGAGGCAGAACTGGTCAGCACTGCTTTGGCAAGGGACGTAAGATGGTGAGTGGACCAAGGCTAATGCCAGCACAAGGGAGAACAGTTAAGTCCTCCCCTGGCTGCGAGGTGGAGACAACCAAATGCATTGTGTGCTTCTGCGGTGCCCTGCCAACAGAAACAATGACAGTGATGATAATCACTTGCAATCTGTTATTGCATTAACACAAGCTCAAAAATGGTAAAACCCAATAATCTTCTGAAATGAAGCTAATCCCCCCCCAGTGTAAATAACACACCGCATCGCAGTGCTTGGCGGCAGCAAGGCTGGGAGTGTTGGGGGGGGAAGGTTCTGCTTTTGAAAGGCTTGGCATGGTGCAGGCGGAGGGATTTGCTGGAAGCAGCCAGGCATGGATACCTGCTTGCCAGGAGAGGCTCTCTGCAATCCTTCCATTTGGTTGGCTTCCTTTGACCCTGTTGCTAAGCTACAAATATGCCTTTCCAGCAAGCTCCAGCATCCTCGCTCCCACCCACTCCCAAGCGCAAACTGAATCAGCCTGCTCAGAAGAGAAACCATCTCTGGCCAGCAAAGAGCCTTTTTTATCTCATTTTCCACCCCCCCAGTATCTCTGCAGAGTGGTACTTGGTTATAAAGAACACTCACTCTGCCCCATGCCAACCCAACAGCCTCAGGAGCTTTGTTAGGAGGAGTGTGGAGAAAAGCATATTATACCATACCAGGTGATGAAACCTGGCACTGCTCCGTTGCAGCAAGAATAGATGAGGATACCAGCGACTCAGAGAAGTAGCTACCACCTACCTGCACACACGCTTGCTCACCCTGATGCAAGCCACGTTAACACTTCAGGACAGCAGATGTTTTATGGCTGGGTGAATGCTTTCTGACCGTGTGCTGGTGTCCTGCAGAACAGCGTGCTGGAGGGTTGTCTGCAGACCCCGTGCTCAGTAGTCTCTTCTGCTATCCTTGGGATGTTAATAGGGTCCGAGTCTCATCCTCATCAGGACCATCACAAGTTGTCAGGGCTGCCTTTTGGCTCAGTGGAAGGTAATGGATGCTCCTTGAGTTCACTTCAAGCCAGCCTAGGGAGGGCGTCTGACATGAGCCAGCTGCAGTGCAGGTTGCTGCAAAGGTTTCTGTGTAGTCCTCGGGAGCTTAATTTGGTCCATATAAACCTCAGGAAAGCTTATTAAAGCTTTCCCAAAACCCTGGCTTTATATAGACCACAATATACCGGCCTGACTTTTGCCATTATCAGGATACCTGTATAAGCAGTCATGTTTACAGGTAAATGTCCTCTGAAGACTCCTCCAAACCATCCCCAAACAACTATATGACTCAGTATAATCGTTTACATGCTTTTCATCGACTATCAACCAATTCTAGTTATTAAGGCCAGATTTCTGATCTCCACATGGGGGAGTCCATAAGCAACTGCTGTCTTAATTGATGGATCTGGTGGTTCTGCATCCAAGTGTTTCCTTGGCAGATGCTAAGTCTGGAGCTCACATTAACACTTACATGTCATACGTGCTAATGTATGACAGTAAACAAAGTGGGCCCCCAGGCTTGCAGGTATGCATGTACATGCAGGCAAATGGATGGAAGTTAAGTGTTGAAATGGCTTAGAAAAGCAGGAGTCCAACAACTCTGCTGTCATACAGGGATAAGAGGGACAGAGCTGCCAAAGATGCTGCAGGACCCAAGAACGCCTTGGGCTATGGCTCAGTGTGAGGAGGGAGCAGAGTGCTCCTGGCAGAGGCTGGTTCTTTTCTGGTGAACCAGGAGAGGGATTTGTCTGCCTTTGCAGAAGCAGAAGCTGCCTTAGGAGGATGCTGTCCTTGGATGAAGGAGCTAGAGGTAGCCTGTTTATTGTCCCAGGACACGGGGGGCAATGGAGCTGGGTTTAGTCCCTGCTTTTGTTCTTTGCTCACCTCCAAGGGGGAGATCTTTATTCACACCTTCCTCATACAGTAATTCAGTGGGGGTTCCCATTTGAGGGTATAAATGGGCAGTTTGGGGTCTGCCTGCCCTGCAGTATCCAAGACCCAGGGCATCTCCCATCTCTGCCCCAATGCAGCCTTAGACAGATTTTGAACGTACCTTCTAACTCCTCTCCTTCTCTTTCTCTTCCAGGGTTCAGCTCCCATCCTGGTAGTCATGGTGATCTTACTAAATATTGGAGTTGCCATTTTGTTTATTAACTTTTTCATCTAATTCAAGACTGTCTTGTTTGCAAAAATAACAGTTACATGTATGAATGGGGGGAAAAAAATCCCGAACAACAACAACAAAAAGGGAAAAAAAAATCATAAGTCGAACTGTCCTACGACAATTTCCAAGTCTTTTCACAGAAGAACAACAAACGATCGAGTCTCACTCACAGTTTGCCTTTTTTCCTGGGTAATGTTTTTTGGATTTTAGCCAAAATTCTTTGCTTGTATAACACTATGCTGTGTGGCATGGCAAAATGCTATCAACACTCTGCCCCCCCAACACTGGAAAGGATGAGAAGGAATCCCAACAAAATAAAAACCTCATTTCCCTTCCCCTCACCCCGCAAAAAAATATATTCAGAACAACAGCAGTGAACCCCAAAATGGAGAGTACATAATGCAGAGGGGACCATGGGGAGATTTTGTTTGATGTACGGGTCCTGGGATGCTCCGGGCTGAGCTTCCCAGGGAAATCCACAACAGCTTTAATGATAAATGGGAGAGAAAAAGCAAAATCAGCCTTTTCTTCCTTCTCCCCTCGCAAATGGAGAAGCGTTGCTGTAAGAAGGAGGAGAGAAGGAGCGCAGGGAAGCATGAACCCTGTCTGGATGCAAAAGATGAGAGAAGGGCAATGGGCCCCATTTTGTTACTTGTTTTTAAAACAAAGCAGCAATTGGTGTTTTGTTAAATTTCTTGGGGCGGGGGGGGAATAGGGAACACAAGGTGTGAGCAGCAGCCCCACCACACTCCTGCCTTCACTCCTCCTCCTCCCCAGGCTGCTCCCCACCATGGCAGGGCTGGAAAACCACCCACTGCTACTTTTAATTCACAGCAGATTTTACCTGGGTAAAACCCAGATTCCCCCCAAAAAACACAGAGGCACATTCAGCAACACAAATTGAGTAGCTGCTGGTCGTTGTGCTATGCTCACCACCACGCGAGGAGCAGCATTAACTCAAGCATCCCACCCAAACACAAGCGTGAACAGAGATGCTGGGGAGCAGACTGGTGGGGAGGGACTGGGGAGAGAGGGCTTGATTCTGATCCACTTCGGATAACAATAAATCATAATAAAGCAAAATAAGGTAAAACTGTTCTTCAAAGGCATCTGGGGAGGAGCACTGGAGCATGTCCCAGAGAGGAGGGCGAGGGTGGTGGGTTTGTCTCTTTACATCTTGCTGTGGACTGTTTCAGACATCATGCTTGGGCTCTAAGCATGTGGTATTTTGCACTTTGTAATGCAGGATGTATATTCCAGCTTCCAACATGTCCCTGTAAGAAAAAAAAAAAAAAAAGGAAAAAAAAAAGAAAAAAAAGAGAAAAAAAAAAAAAGAAAAACAAAAAACCCAAACATCATTGGCAATGGCAGCCTCTAAGGATGTATTATTTACTTTTTTTTTTCTATGTCACTTAATTTGTTCGTTTATACCATCTTTGTAATATGCCTGCCTTGATTTTCTCCCCTCCCCTGTCCCCACTGATAATATGCATACTCATTAAAGATGCCGTATCCCTGTTCTGAGCTGTTATGGTCCCCATCACACGAGTGCAGCCTTAGCTCCATTGCTTGGAAGCGGCCAATGGCCCCTTGCTTCTCAAAACTGACTCCACTGGTACCTTGTCCCCACCGTGGAGATCGGCTCTGCCGGTGATCCACCACCAGGTATGGTCCAAATAGCTTCAATTTGGGATTTGGTACGTCCAGGGACCAAATTCCACCCTCAGTTCTACCCACTGCAGTGCCAGTCAGCAGGAGAAGGGGTGCAAGCATGGCAGCAACCCGAGGGTGGGATGAATCCCTTTCCACAGCTACAGTTGGGGGGAGGAAGGAGGGAACAAATCCTCCTCGACATTTCACATACAGAGGTGTTGGGTACAGCCCTGACTTGCGGACTCAGCTTTGCTTTGCTTCTGTTTTAGCTGTTTCTCTGCTACCTTTTCAGCAGATTTCTTATTACATTGCACTGGATTGCTATATTTTTAACCAGAAATAAACTAAGGATTAGAGCATGTGCCAGTTAAATTCAGTTCTTTGCCTTACATGGTCTTACTCCCTCCTGTCGCAGTTTCTCTTCCTCTTTTTTTTCCTTTCCCTTTTCAGGCAGAAGGGCTATGGGTGGACAGGGTAAACGAGAACTGAAGGCAGCAAGACCCCCTGTAACTTTGATTTCATTTTCCACAGTAACTGTCTGTCATCTTCATACATTTTTTGTTTAGGTTTGGTTTGGTTTTAGGCCTTTAGTAATCTTTTTTACTCTTGAATGGTTGCTGCATACTTGAACCAAATAGCAACATGTTGTGGTTGCAGCCCTAGGAACTCATCCGTGTGTTTTGTAACTCTTTGTAAAGACTGTCAAGGATTTCTTTTGTACATTCAGGTGCATGACACAAAGGTCCCACCAGGAGCAGGTTCAACAGTTACATACAAACACGGTACTATATTTAGATATATATAAAACAGCAAAAAATGCCTCTTGTTATTAATCAAATAAAAGTACTAGTGATTTCATGAGTAGCTTTTTCATGCTGGTGACTGACTGATTACTGCTCTTACCCCTGTACCAGCAGTTAGGGTTTTTCATTGCTTTGTTCCACAAATTAAAGCTCCACGGAGATGAGGTTTGTCCAATATGAAAGACAGCCAAAGACTAATATCAATTGGGCCCCAAACCATGTGCTTAAAAATCATGATTTCTTTATTAACCATGGGGAGCTGAGCAATCTGTCTTAGTTCTGGGCTTTTCACATTTGCCCAAGGCCAGAAATATTCTTGAGAAATAGCCCAGACAGAGAGTTAATTCAGTATATTTCCCTATCTTATAAGCCCTAGATTCATGCATCTCTACCTAAGGCACATTAAAATGTCTACCATCATGGCATATAAATCTATGTAAATTGTCCATACCTGCTGTTTTATGTCCACACTGACAGATGCATGTGAGCAGTTGAAGGTTTACATCAGTTTTTTTGGCTGCAGTGGTATTTTAGGTTCCTACAGTGGAACATGCAGCACCTGGAACGCAAGGAGGGGCTGAAGGAACCAGCCCACCTCCTACCATGGCAGTAAAGACATCGGGAAGAGGGTGTCTAACCCTCCCCAGGGACCCCTGGCTGGACCCTACCTGTGTGAGCGCTGTGCTGATTTGATGCAGCATCTTCAGGGAAGGCAAGAAGGAAGGAATACAAAACTCCTCTGCCTCCTCACGCCACATCAGCTTCTCATCAGCCCATCTGGTGTCTGGGTTGCTTGTACCCAAGACCTAGATTCTCTGAGCACGCTGGGACTCTCCAGGGCCTGATCTTTCAGAGATCTTGAGTTGTTGCAGCATCTATTTACCTTGTGTGGAGTTTTAAAGCACTGCTGGGGAAAAATAATAATCCAGACTGCAACAGAAGGGGAGGGGCAAGAGGAGAAATACTGTCTTATGACGATGAAGGTCTTAATTGAAACCCAAGGACTATTTGTCCTGACAGGCTTTGGCAAGATAAGGGAGGATAGAAAAGCAGCGATTTCTTATACCTGTCACAGGGTGAGGATGGCTGCAGACATCTGTGCTAAAGCAGAACAGAGCAGAGGCCGGACTGGATCCTGTCTGACAGCACAGATTCACGGCGTGTGGGTAAACTGTCTGCCCCAGATGGGCCATGCAGTCTCTTGACATGGTGGCAAGTTTCCTGGTGTAGGGAAACCGGTCAGCTCCTTGCACAGCCCCTAAATGAACTGCATCAGTCCTGTTGTTGCCTATTCCCAACCTTCACAGCAAGGCTCCCTGAGCAGCTCTGCAGCCCAAGGCTTGAGCCACTGCTGAAGGCAACCCTGAGCACAGCAAGCACTAGAGATACCATGCCTTTGAGCAGCTAATCCACCAGGACTATGCTTCCCTCAGAGGCATTTCAAGCTCTTGAGTTCCCTTTATAGGTCTGTTTTAACTAATATTAACCCACAGGCACTCAGCTACAGAACTACCACCAACCTGTTTTTCCAGGGTATGTGTATCACTTCATTACCATGCCCGGTGAAGGAGTTTCAACCCCGAGAGCGACTAATCAGTGCCCAAAGGTCTGAATACAACACTCAGATACATCATGAGCTGTGTCCCTTCACTCAAGGCATCTCAGAGGTTAAAGGAAACCTCACTTTGTAGATGTTGGGAGATGCTGAGTGTTGCCCAACAGTTTTTGTGGAATGGATGGCTTAGAACTGCTATGGTGAGTTTCACATTCCCAATCGGAAACGTCAGTGGAAGATAAACTTCCGATAGACTCCCATCCTTACACAGGTGTTATTTGCTCAACCACACTGCTACCTAGTAGACTCACAATCCTTACCATTTGCCTGTTTCCTTTTTATCCCCAATTTGGGAATAACAGCACTGAGCCTAGTAAGGCTCAGGCTTTGTTACAGACACATTTTAACATGGTAAGAACACCAACATCCAGTCCCTTACCTCCTCTACAATAGCAAACATCCCCACCCCAGCAGCAGCTGCATTTTGGTATTGGGTGTTTGGTCCTGTTAGAAGAGAGAGCTGAAGAATTACTCCTGCAAGTAGTAAAAGCACTGCTCCCCAACCCCTTCAGCATGGAGCATGTTTCAAAGCCCTTCTCATGTTCATCTGCAGCTGTGGGTTAGTGACTTACCCTGGCTCATTCAACACCCCAGCTTCAGGAAGAACTGAAGGAAGCTGCAAGCCTGGGTCAGCTCGACTTCACGGCAGAGCAATGACAGCCCTGGGAAACCAACATCTCCCAAACCTTCCACTCCCTTAGCAGTGGTGTGCTCCCCATGTGGAGCTGCTGTGATGCATGCCATCCTAACTCAGCTTCCTTGGAAGCATGTCTCTTCTAGTCAATGCCCTCTCCAGTCATACTTAGCTTGGAACAGAACACAACCAGGACTATGTTCCAGAGCCCTTGAGGAAAAGATGAAAGGAAAAACTTCAGATTATCACTGCACACACTCTAGCTCATCTGATGCATCTACTTCCCTCATCCAACAGTCTCTTCCAGAGAAAGGGGAGGGAGAATCTTTTCCTGCAGCTGTAGAAAACTGTTCTTCATCCTTGGCACTAATGTAACCTGGCTTCAGCTCAGGGAACAAAATCATTCAAGGTGTACGTCTGTACCTGAAAAGGCAAAAAATGATGAAGTGCATCTAAGTGTGGTTTCCAGCATCTGGAATAGGCCTTTGCAATGGAGTCCTTTGCAGAGATGTTGTGATTTTAAACCCACTGTTTTTCAGACAAAAACATAATAATCATCACCAGAATCTTGAAAATCCAACTCAGCAACAGATACCCCAATTTTTGCACAGCAAGTTATGGACATCATACACAAAAGATCGGAATTCAATGAGATCAAGGTATAAACTAACCCAAGTGACAGGACAGGAGGACACCTGATGTCCTTAGCCAAGCAAACACTATGGATTCTTTCCTAGGCTATCAATAAATGGTATGTTTTCACCTCTCATCTGTTATTCTACATGGAAGGTACCTTCCTATCAAACATGTTTTTATCTTGACAATTGGCAGCCTGCTGTATTTAATCTTTGTTACCTTCCAATTAGCCCTGAACCTAGCACTGCTCTCTCGAGAGCTGGCTCCCCTGTGATGCCTCTGCCAAAACAATACGCATAGCACCCTGGATCTCCCTGCACAAGGACAGCCTTCTGGTGTCAACTCAAGCCATCACTTGTTTGCTGCAACAGACACACTTTGATCCATCTGTTGTCCCTATGGACCACAGTGCTGCTCTGCTGGAAAGTGATGCCTTGAGGAGAAGGGCTGAGGAAGCAGGGGTGAAAGAAAAAACCCTTTGAGAGTGCCAGCTCACTCCCTACCAAGGTAGGATGTTTCACAGGTCATAAATAAAAATAAATAGTTTATACAAATAAATAGTTCATTTTTAAGACAACTAATATCTTGTCAAACAAGTGAGAAACAGAACTGGGGGATTCCACACGCAAAGGCAAAATCTGCTACAGCTGATTAAAAAGGAAGATATTTCTACTGTTATGTGTATCAGGGGTTACAGCGGCTCTCATACAGCTAAGGTATGAAAGGATTCCCAGGATTCTCCAGGCAGTGCAGCCGTATCTCAGGGCTGCTGGTGCATCTTACAACCACTACCTATGTATTTCGCATTGGGAACAGTGATTCCTCTTCCACAGCAGGAGAAAAAGAAGTAGAAAAGCTATGAAAGGACGGAGAAAAACAAAATGATGTAACCAAATAGATTTATTGTAGAAACCCTCAGAGACACGTTCTGGCCCCCATCAGGGTAGGGATTTTGGGACCAGTGAACCATTGTGATGTGCAGTTTGTCTTGACAGACTCAAACCAGTTTTGAACAAAAATATGACAGTATTGTACAGGCTAGCCTCAGCAGAACAAGTGCTCAAACAGCAATCCTGTTCCTCAAGACCCTCCCACAACCTCCAGGAGAATAACAGCACATCCAGAGAATTAACCAAAGAGGCATACTGAGACTGGTCAGCCCAAAGGCACCCAGAGTAGGCAAAAGCTAGAGCATGCCTTCTAACATGCTGACTGCCTGGTACATCAGGATGAGTTCCATGGGGCTAACCACTGCTCCCAGCATGTGTTTTCACTCACAGAACAGTCCCAAGAACATCTAGACTGAATCTTCATAGAAAGTCTTTGCCATGGCATGTGCCACTTTTACCACCTTCTTCTCCTTGGCATCCAGGCCCATATTGCTGCGGGCTAGTTTAATCCAATACTGCTCCGTCCTGGACAGGTAGTCTGCATGGCTCTCATCAAGCTGAACAGACGGGTGTTGCTCCTCTTCTAGTACACAGTGGGAAGAAGACAAAAAGAGAGGTGACAAACAGTGAATGAAGGCACTGCTCTTCAACTCAGCCAAGACTGCTCTTCAGCTAATGTGTTTAAATGTAACAGCCTAAAATCCTATCAGTCATGAGTAGAATTTCTCTTCTAACCTGAGAGCAGTGCACTATGAAAACTGCTTTTGCTAGAAAACTCACCCGGATGACAATGAAGCCCTCCAGGCTGGCAGCAGAACCAGCACGTACTGTACTTTATATTAGTATGAAGAAAACATTCATCTTAATTATTACCTCCCTCATCTTCACTCTCCTCTTCAGAGCTCTCCTCTTCCTCTTCTCCTCCCTCTGCACCTTCCTTATCATCCTCCTCTTCATCTGACTCAGAATCCTCCAGCCATTCTTGTGCTTCTTTGATGAGAAAGAAAATAAAATAAATAAATAACAAGCTGTTTCCCACTCCTACAGCCAGAACTATCATGGAAGATCTGGGCAAGGTCAGAAAGATGTGCTTCTTAAGACCCCTGCTCTATTCACTGCCTCAAAGATCCATTCACTGTACAGTGCCTGTATCTGATGGGAACAATGGGAAGAGATGAAATAGGAAGAAGTGAACAGCACAGAACAGCTGTGGAAGAGAAGCTGGTTAGTGCCAATGCTGACAACAGTCAGCTCTCCTCCCTAGCACTTCACAGTTCAATGATCATGAGCAAGACGCCTTCCTTTATGCCTTCTGCCAATTACCACATGCAGACTGTGAGTTTCGAGGGCAAGGTCACCTTTTGTGATCGCAAAGCTCTGGACTAGACTGGTTTCCATAGTGATGGTGACCGTAACACACTGCATATCACGTAATTCCAAACTTTCTCCTGTCCAGGAAAAAACACTACTCAAAGGCTCACCACCACGCCTTGAGGAAGCTCCACAGTTGTTTTGTTGGTTAGTTTTTCTCTTCCCTAGTGTGGTGTTGCTACACTAAAAGCAGAGAGAGAAATCCCACCATCAGAACTTACTTGGATCCATCTCCACTAGCACCTTCCATTCTTCCATCTTGTGTAGGTCGATGCTGTAGAGGTCACTGAGGGTGAACTGGCGATCACCCACCTCAAACATTCCCCCATACACATAGAGAATCCCATGTTTCACTGCCAACATGGCATTTGAACGTGGGCATGGCTCCACTTTCTGTCCCAAGGCTCCGTCTTCCTCCTCCTCTGATTCAGACCTCTCCTTTTCTTCTGCGGGTCCAGAGATCACCTGCTTGATTGTCATGACAGTCCCATCTTCTGTCACCACCTCTTTGACTATTTCCACTGGGCCTTGTGGAGGTTGCTTCCCCACCTCCTCATCTCCAGCACCCTCTGCCTCAGCTTTTCTGCCACGTCTCCGCTTCCTCTTCTCTGATTTTGGTCCCTGTTAACAGCAACAAGGAACAGAAAGAGACTGAGTGTGAATTGCCTGCACCTAATAGCATGTACAGCAGTTACTATAACTACTATGGATGCTGCTGGGAGGGAGGAGAGGGAGAATTCAATCGCTTTTCACTACAACTACAAGTCTCAAGTAATAGGTACAGCCTCCCACTCAGCATAAACTTCTACCAGCCATAAAACAAGGAACAATGAAACTCCTGGAGAGCCCAAAGCATGAAGTTGCTTCCTCTATTAATGGCAGCATGTGCTGAAGAAGCAGAAAACAGCTATTTTTCTCTCTGTCTTGCAGGTACACACAAACATGCAAGCAGTCCAATAGTCTGATGAGAGCAAGAGAAAGTAACCCCCATTTTTGTGAAATCACAACAATTGCCAGGTGCTAAATTACAGTGCATGACCAGGAAGCACTCCAGGTCTTCAAAGAACACAGAGAGGAAAGCAGAAGCAAACATCTGACTGCCTGTTTGCCTGTTACTATGTGATTGACTTCTGTTTGAGAACAAAGCCAGAAACAGTGGGGAAGAAGGAACTTCTTCACCTGCACCTCATTCGCCCTTGAGAGTGGTTCAAACAAAATCACAGATCAGATGGCCTCATTTGTGAAGTTTTTATGAGCCAAGGTTAATATTTCATCTCTTTAGTAACTCATCAACACTGGGGAAAAGAGAGGGTTTTTTTGATCCCAATGCAACAGAAGATCTTTTCACAGTAGCTTTTACTGAACTATCTGATGTCAGATTTATACATCTGACCTAGAGCCAGCCTCCAGTAAAACACTGTTAACGATGTTTTCATGCTGCTTTGCTTCATTTTGCATTACACAACAACGGGACACATTCAGCCTGACTCCTTAGGAGGGAGATTGCTCCTGAACCACTCCCACTTTGTGCCCAACCATCAGGGCTCACAGGCTTCCTCTCTCCACAGAAGGGCACCAGTCTACATCCCACTGTGGAAGCAGGGCATGGAGAGCACAAGGAGCTATGTGGCAGAGAAGGTAGCATGAAGGCAGCATGAAGTCAGAGAATTCAATTCATCTGGTACCAAAAATCTGCTAGAGTTGCACATCACCAGCTTCATTTGTACAGCCTCACCTCCTCTTCAAAGTCAGTGGGTCACAGATCAATGCAGCAGCCACACCTAGTGGATCACCTCTTGGAGCACCCCAAGTTATTACAAATAGAGGCTTGCTCCACACTACAAGAAAACTCTTTCAGACCAAAAAAGGCCCAAAGAACACACATCATGATCAAGAAGAACGAACTGAATGTATCTGTGTTAATTTTTAAAATCAAACCTTCAGCTGTCCAGGAAACCAGCGGTTTTTCCCGAGGTCATAGAAATAAATATCATTGAAGAAGTCCCCTTCAATGCTTTCCTCCTCTTCTTCATCATGCACACCTCCAAACAGAAGGGAGCGGTTATTGGGACCAATTGTCACGGAGAAGCCAGATCTGGGAGTGGGTTTCACTCCAGAAGGGTTGAGCCGACTCCATGCCCACTTGTCTGGTAATGGATAAAAGCAAATACAAGCATCAGCAAAGGAGAATCCAGGATGCTTTTATATCTCCTACGCCCTTCAGTACTCCGGCAGTAAGTCTATGACCCATTTTGGATTTCTCAGAACTGCACAGTACAATGTTAATCAGAACCACTTATATTTCCACTTTACACACACAGCTAATAGCACATCCATTCTACCCTTAGAAAACCATTGTGTCTTCAGTAAAAGCAACTGTAGAGGACTGTCTTCACGGCATACTTTCTGGGGCAAGAAGCCTCTTGAAAGATGTATACACCTTTATAAGAGAGTGGAGTTCAAGCAAGGATTACATATATATATATAGCCTTCACGTACCAAGGAAATGTGCCTCAGTTAACCCAGGAATCCCACTCCACATTCATTCTTTCTACAGCACTCTTCTACTAGGGTACTTCACCTACCAATTTGCATCACTGCCTTAACTCCCAGAATAATTACAGTTCTTTGTAAGGAGACCCAACCACACTTTAAAAAAAGGCTCAGGAGCAGGAGAAGGCTTGTGCTCTAAACCCTTTGCTTTTGCTCCAATCCTTTCTACTCTGGATTTAGAGCAAATCCTGAAAACACAGGCTGGGAGAAGCACATGCACTGGCTAGGCACTCTGTTTCTGAAGGAACCACAATTTCAGTAAGATGAACTATAAATAGTGCATAATGCAAACAGGGTCTGGAATCCACACAATATATGTGACCCAAACCTCCTTCCCAAATCCTGCTTTAAGATAATCAGGTTTAAAGAAATCAATCACAATTTTAAGATTTTAGAAATTCAGCTCAAAGAAGCTTGTCCCATTCCCTGAACCAAGGACAAAATACACTCTCTCCTAAGGAAAGCGATGGAATTCCTATTTCAGAGACATTCAGAGATAAAACAACCAACTAACCTATAATATCTTGGTTAGGCTTGGGTTTTTTTGGTAATATCCCTGCTCCAGGTAATCTAACGAGATCACAACCCAATCTTCTCTCTTAAGAGTCTGTAAGACACCACTACCAAAGAG